GGATTGTGGTGTTTAGTCCCGTTTCATCTTCAAGCGAAATTTTAGGAATAAGCTATCTCTCGGTTTACGTGTATTTTTAGGCACGGTCCGTTACAGAATTCGTTATTGTGGCAGTGGCTAGACTATTTTCCTTCGTTAAGTGGTCAGAGAGTTAATTCTTATCAAAAGATTCATCATCTTCTGAGAGGTTTTGCTAAGGTTGGGTAGGGTATCTATTTCAAGGCTAATGTTTGCGGTCACCCTTTAGTTAGTTCCCAGTAAGGGATATTTTTATGGCGCGCCTACAATCGTTATGTATCTCAGGAATTTTCTTTTATTATTGTCCATCTTATTATCTATTTATATATTTGTTTATTCAAGTGGGTGTTTTATATACAGATCGCATTGCACTGAATATCAATTTGTTTTTTTTTGTTTTTTGACGAGTACAAAAAGGGTTTTTCCTATTTAATGATTTGGCTAAGCTTTTAAGAATTTTACTTAGCTATGGGATTTTTTTTTATGCTAATTATTTAATGCTAAAGTTTGTTGAAAGTTTTTCTGTTGATAAGAATAAACTCTCTGACCACGTAACGAAGGAAAATGAGAACATGAGAACTCTTATGTAGCGAAGGAATCATATTTTTAAACAAAAAATATTATTATAATATATATATATATATATATATATATATATCCATAGACAGTCTGTTTCGCTGTATCACAGCTCGTCAGTTTGGCTAGACGTCCGATTGCTTCAAGCCGACATCAGTTACCTATCTTACCTCTAGGCCATCGTCATATATATATATATATATATATATATATATATATATATATATAGTTATTTTATTTTTTAAAAATTATGACATGAATATGTTATAAAATCACTAAAAAGATAGCCATTTTGTTTCAACACCGCCGTTGTTTTATCAAACAGAATAACAATACAATCAACAACAAAAAAAAATGAAAATTCCTTATTACAGACACCGGGGGTGTTGAAACAAAATGGCTATTTTTGTAGTGATTTTATAACATATTTATGTTATTATTTTTTTAAATAAATTATTATATATGCTCTACTTTGTATTGAGCACTCTTTTGAGAATAGTAATTGTTGCTTATTGGAAATCATTCCGCATACACCAATTATATACTTATATATATATTCATATATATATATATATATATATATATATATATATATATATATATATATATATATAGAAAGTTTCTCAGAGTTAACCTGTAGAAAAAAATATATTTATAAATATAAATGACAATAGGAAAACTGTAATAGGTGCCGACGCATTTCATCCAATATGGCAACTATTTCAGTTTTCCTATTGTCGTTGATATCTATTTCTATCTATCTATCTATCTATCTATATATATATATATATATATATATATATATATATATATATATATATGAACAATATTTTAAAAAAGTCTATAATGTCAATGTTTTAAAACAATTAAATTGTAATCTAAAAAGAAATATTGTAATCGTATAAGTTAGCCACTAAGATAGCATAATAATTTTAGCATTTAATTCTTAAATTGAGTATAACGTGGGGCGTTCCCACGTGCCTTTAATTATGAGAGTGTGCGTTTCACAACTATCTATTTCGTTAACTTTATTTCTTCACAAGTCAGCGCTGAAGGTGATCTTGAATGAGAATGAAATACTTGGAAAAATAAAAGAAATGTTAAAAAAATAAACTACGAACAGTTCTTTAATCGATTTAATAACAACATTAAGAAATTTATCCGTCAACTTGAGAGAATTAAATTAAAAATAAATACACATAACATATCCAGAGTATTCAACCATTCTTGCTTGAATGAAGATATGCAGCCTATATATATATGTTATATTGGCTTTTAAACAAATATATTCACCATCAAAAACGATATTCTGTTATGTTAATATAGAAGATTGCTATGCGAAGATGAGTGTCGCGGAATAGCAGACACGGCCGTCAATACATGATGGGTTTCTAGCATGTCATACCACGCGAGAGAACGCAATATTAACAATAGAACCATGTTTTTTCGATGCAATGTAATATGTTGTGACTATTTTGAAATGAAATTTTGTTGAGTTTGTTTTTATTTTTTTTTTAATGTAGATGACCACCGATATCTGAAGTTTCTTTTACTGTTTTTATGTGTGATTATTTTTGTTTTATCAACTAATCTTTGTCTAATATTATGTACATGGCTATGTTTTTTCTAAGAAATGTTGTTTAATACAATTAAGATCAGAAAGGTGACAGATAAATCAAGTTCATATGACTGATACAAAATTCTGACGTATAGTTATGTCACGTAACCTAATATCATGTTTAGATTTCATTCGACTAGGAAAAGAACTTTCCTGCGATTTTCTCTACTAAATTACAACTTTGTAAATATAAAATCCGGGTACCAAATTCCGCATATAAATTGTCGTTATTTACTGGAAAATATATTGTTGTTGGTTAGGTACTGGCCATTTGACTCTTGGTAAGCGGTAGATTGACCTTGTTTTTGTTTTGTTTTTGTAGCACGTGGTATTCTTTGCCGTGGTTCTCTATACAGGCCATTGATACGCATCCTACACTCTCTCAGTAGTGGTTGCTTTTGCTTGAACTATCTGAAATAATATACGTTGAACGCATGAGAAAGAGAATCAAACCCTATTTATCCCTGGCGTCAGAACATAATGTAATGGATAAATAAGTTTTATTCCCCTTTCGAAAATTGCAGAAGACGTTTACGCCCTTTTTCTCTAAAATACTTGCTCAACATCTCTTGGTAAATCTCGTATCTCCACTAGGACACACGCTGTGATCGGCTCTCTCGGCCGACCGTATCAATAAGTTATTCTTTATGTGCTGCGTCCCTGCAGGCTCGAAACGATCTTTTCTCCCCCGAACTTCATGTCTTTTGTAGCTCTTAATAAAATTTGTCATTGTTCTTTCTCCTAAACCCAGTCCCGCTTTGCATTTTCGCAAGATCATCAAGTATGTTATGCACTGTTTTCCTTTGTTCAGGTTGCCTTCAATCTAACCATGTTAGTATAAAATTTTCCTCGCTATCTTTTATTCATTATGTTTCTTAAAAGTTTCTACTGTCTCATCTTGATATTAATTATAACTTTCCTTCTTTTTCAATTGTATCTAAAATTTCGCCTTTGATCACATAACCGGTTCATTGTATACCCAGAATCCTTCTGCAGAACCAGATTTCTATTCCTTCAAATTTCTTCTTTATCTGTGAAGAAATTGTCGAAACACTGACTGCCATAATGGAGAACAAATATCATGTAACCATTAGTACTGTTTTCATTGTTTCTAGCGAAAAACCGACAATAGTAAGATTAAAAAACCGAGCACACTTTCGTCCATACAAATCGGTGACCAGCTCCGAAAGTAATACGTTACTAAACTAGGACTTTTTATAATTAATATGATGTACAAAACGCTATGCTGAATATTATTGACATGTGTTACACACGGCCTATTCTTAATATAATCTACGTAAAGAGTATCGAAGTAGATGAAGAAGACGATAAATAGATGACTGTATTATTGCAATGTCCTCTGGGAGTTCAAATAAAAACGTGATGATCGACTGGGTCAAGTAATCCTTCCCCAAATATATCTTTTGATTATAACACTTCAATCCATCCGAATTTTTTATCAGTAGTTCTTCTTTATTGGCAAGGATACAACAGTAAATGAGTAAGATAGAGTTATGTAGTGGTTTCACAGTGGAGTCTTGTATTTGTACTAAGTCGGTCCTAAAATAGGTTCGACGTAGAAATCGTTAGGGACTTGATATAATAGGTAATGACGCAGAGGAATCTAGTTGGGGTGGCTGATACTTTAGTATCCGACTAACGGTCGTCTGGCATCGACTGACTGACCCACTGAGCGACTCCCTCGTTACTCTTACTACTCCTAGATATTATAGGTGAGAGAGTCTATTAACTATCGAATAGGTATGTTCCACTATAACAGATAGACAACGGCTAACCGGATACTGCGGCATCGGGCATTGATCAAGCTTTGATGGAGGTTTGTTCCGTTCTCCTTAATGCAGTCTTTGACGTCTTTGATGTCTTTGACGTCTTTGACCATTTTGCTTGACAAAACGTAATAATATATTTTGTAGTTAACTGATGTCAAACTCCTCGTTTATGATATTATTTTGTCGTAATTATTAAAAAAAAAAAATAAATAAATAAAAAAAATGTTTCTCTTATAAAATATATTTTGATTTTGGAAGGGGCAAAAAAAAACAATGATGTATCTTCTCCCCAGACTTACTCAGCCTTTACAGCGAAACGATCCCGAGAGAATTATAAGCCCCAGGATTAATAACAAGTGGCTGTAAACTTAACAGCATCAGCTATTCAGAGGACACAGTGTTGGTAGCAGACACAGAGAGTCAATTAATGGGACTAGAGATGGTATTAATCGAATGTGAGCCTAAAGGACATAATATTAATTGTAAGGAGACAGAATGTAAATTTGGCAGGCGGTGAAATTCAAACTGGAGACAAACAAGTACGAAAATGTAAATATCTCCTTTAGTAGAGGACCGACATTAAGACGCATTGGAATAGCGAAAGATGTCATCCAAAATGTTAAACAAAAGACAGGAAAATGTGTTCTTAGGTTGATTTTCTTTAGTGGGATAAAAATTCAATGGATTTTTGCCGAAATCTAAATATTTTATGCGATTATGATAATAATATTTTTAGTGAGATAAGCTTTAAAAATTAACCCATATCTGGGGAGAGAAGTGGTGGATTCATACATTTCCTAAGCTTATTTGTGCGTATGGGAATATAAAGAAACCAGCTGATTCGTCTGTCCGATTAATAATTCTGAGCGATTATCCGTTACTCTACCCACAAACCTAAGTTTACAGCCCCTGCTCTTAGCAAGCGGCCACCCATCTAGGTACAAACCAGGCTCGACGTTGCTTAACGTCGTTGATCGTACGGGAATTGGCGTTTCAACATGATGTAGCAGTAATCCAAAAAGATATTGTGTTGGTGCATAATTATCAGGCGTTTTTTTAGGCGAGTTATTTGTAAATAAAATTTGTGCGTTTTTAAATTTTTTTAATAAAATATTATTTTATTTTCAGGTTATCAACATGCGTGTCGATAATCATACTCATTTAATAATGTTATTGTTGAATTATTATGTTTCATTTTTCATAATAAATATTATTTAAAAACGCCTGATAATTATGCACCAACACCATAAGTGTCCTGAACTGTTATCAATGTAGAAGGGACTGCTATTATATGGCCTCACAGATGAAGTAGAGAATTCAGGAGATAGAAATTGGGTTCTACAGGAGGCTGTTGAGAATGCTATGGATTAAACATATGATCAACAACTAAATTCTAAAGAAAATAGAAAGAAAGCAGACATTAGAATTAGAAGGCCGCAGATGAAATTACTAAAGAGGAAAGAATGCTTGGAAAATGTAACACTCACAGGACGCATCCAGAGCAAGACAGACAGTAGAAATCACCGTGTAACAAAGTAGTCGATTTTGCGCCAAAGGATTGTTGAAGAGGGAAAAAGTGGGAGATCAAGTATTAAGAGAAGAACAAGATTTGGAGAGTGCTTACCGCTCTTGTAGACCATGGCTCATCGAAGTAGGGAAATATCTCGTGCGTCTAACAAAGTCAAGTATCAATTTAATTTGTTTGCTGTCGGTCTGAAATCTTCTCGCCAACTGTTGAACATCGTTCAGCAAGTAATCTGAACTTTTGACAGATTCGATCATTCACACTAATTTCGACATAAATTGAATGAAGTCTTTTCTATGTCTGAGTCGCGTTTCTATCTTTTGCACAAATAAAACCCATAATATGGCCTCGAATTTATTTATTTTGTTCCACTTTCAGTGCTAGAATCAATAAACAAAATTAAGCTGAGATTGATATTTAAACAAAATAAACGCTGATGTGACAGCTGTCACACTCAAATATTTGTGAAGTTACTTAAAACTATACGCTATTAATGCAAACTAACGTCAAAAACAGAAGGTACCTTTTTGTATAAGAACTTACAAAAGCCTCTTTCTGGTTTCACTTGAAAATTAAACTATATCCTCGGGGAGCCGGTTTGCTAAAATTTTATTAAAAAAGACTAAAAAATTTGGAACGCGCATATCCCTCATAATTCTTTGTGGAACAATATGAATTTTCAAACGAAAGAATGATAAACTGTGTCATCGGAGTATTTTTTCACGTATTAAAGCTTTTGTCATTGTCATAACTTGACGAATTTCCTGTATTCAGTATTTGCTGTTGCAAAGTTTTTGAAATGGAAAGGCGAGTTCTTCTACGGAGTATACATAATTCATGCGTAATTTAATTCCTTATATTTGAATAAGTTTTTTTTTTTATTATGCTTGTCTTTGGTCACATATTGTTCTTTACATATCTAGAAATTTCTTGGATAATGATATCTGCCAGAGAATTCTTAGTGACTTCTGATACGTCTACACTTTTCGGAATAGTATAGGCGATTACTTGATTTAAATACGTTTCTAAAGAATTTTTTATAGCAATTCATCCCATGCGGAAGTTCCACTAGCAAGCAAGTGGTTACAGACGATTGAGAACAGGAGTAAAGAGGCGTGTTTGAGGAAAGGATACAGAAAAGGACGGGGAACAGGTTCAGGGTGTCAGATGTCGATTGACATTACACTTGAATATTTAAAGATTATAGTCATCAGGGAAGCAAATAGGGAAAATAGAGTTCCACAGACGGAAAGTGCGAGAGAAAAGCTGTTTGAGTAGAAGGAACAGTTAAATTTAACAGTTTTGACTGTGAAAGGTTGAGTCCGGCGTGCCAGGCTGATAGCTCTCTTAAATTCAGGCAGTCTGGAACAAGCGAAAGTAGCTCGTCGGAACAGTTGCCGTGGAAGTAATTGTAGAAGAGACAGAGGGAAGAATCACTTATTTGCATCTTCTTTCTTAATTTGAACTGGTTTAATAGATAGTATATCCGCATGGTTCAAGTGACCAGGAATGTGTTTGATCGTAAAGGACTAACGCTGTAACCGTAATTCTCATCATAAAATACCGGGCGATGGTCGTCCTGAATGATGGTGCAAAATTTTCAAAGGTTTATAGTCCGACAATATCTCAAAATGACAAACAAACAGGCGTAAATCGAATTTTTAGCAGCCCCATATAGCTGCTAAAAACTCTCTAGTTCAGTTTGACAGTAACGCTGCTCTTGTTGAGTGAGAAGTCTATTGCCACAGGTCTCACGCTATCATCTGTTTGTCTTTGGGATGCAATGGTCCCATGTCCCATGAGTCCAGCATTCAGAATTAAGATAGTCTTAATGTCTGGATTAAAATGAGCAATCACAGTATCATTCATAAGAAAAACTTTAGTTTAATAAAAGCTTCCGTTTTAGCGTCAGTTCATAACCATTTAGATTCTTTCAGTAGCAATTTTCTAAGTACTTGCGTTTCTGATGATAAATTCCTTAAGGGTTTACCTAAATGTTTTATTCCTCCAAGAAAATTATAAATTTCTTTACTTGAACTATTTCCTGATTTCATTAATTACTCCAAATTTGTTCGAAACAGGTAGAATATACTTATTAGAAATATCAAGTGATCCCATAAGTTCTGTCCGAATTTTGAAAAAAGAAAACAAGTGACCAAATGTCACATTTAATTGTTTAGCCGGATGTCAAATGAAGCGAAAGACTGAAACATCCAAATATTGTTTAGTTATCCAAAATAAAGATCTTATAATATTTTTAACTCAGAAACTCATTTTGAGAATTTAGAAAATCATACTCAACATCTGATAAAACGCGGATGAAAATATTTCACTTAATTTTTGTTAACGTTCGTGTTGTTTTGATACAAAGAACATTCACTTGAATTGTCCCACCTTTGTCAAGCCTGTGATTACATTTTGTACAAATCTCTAATACGCGTGACACCCGTAAACAAGGAAATGAAAAAAGGAAAATGAAATGGGAAATTTTAGGGGAGAAAATAGTCTAGCGTGACGCAGTGCACCAACTTTCCTGGCGGTAAAAACTAGCAACTGATTCGATATAATCTTTCCATTTCACTTAAACGGAAATCTTTATCCCGAGAAGGCGTAGTAAACCACTCTCATGAACGTTTTATCTGTAGGCAATCCAAGATTAATTCACAAACTATCGATAAAAGAACTGTGTATTTTAATAGATAAAAAGGTCAACATTATATATTTATATGATTACAATCTGTGATATCAGTTATCTCCGTTTAGCTTAAAAAAATCCAAATCAAAATGTGATGTACATTACATGTTAGAAACAGAAGTATAGACTTTACGATATGTTAGTCCTCATACCAACCGGCTTTTTCTAACGAAACATTAACATACAGATTCCACTAAATAAACGACAATACGCAACGATCATCAGTAGGTATTCTCTAATGCTAATGCAATTACTTTAATCAGTTTTAAGTGGTTAGTGGTAGAGAAACGCAATGTCAGCCGAAAACAGACAGAAATTGACGCCTTTTTTTCATTAGAAAAAACTGGAAAAAAACTTAAACAAAGATTTCATCCTTTCATTTGCTTATATAAATATTAGATTTCTTTCAGAAATTAACATTTTCTTTATTCATTTTCCATAATTTAGAAATTCAATCATCTGGATTTTGAATTATCGGAACATATTTTCTTCAACGGCTAATGCAACCATAAACAAAGAAGTACCGTATCAATTTGTGTATATTAATCTACGTTTTTTTTATTAGTTTGAGTCATAAATAAGTTCCTGTTTTTGTTTATCAACAATCTTAGTCAAAGCATGAAGTATAATTTTATTTTATTCAATTATTTATTGTGCATTTTTGCAATTTATTTCTTGCCAATTATCAAGTAGCACTTCGATATGTTTTAAGAAAAATACCGCAGGATTTGATACACACATGTTTTCGACGAACTCTTGCATCTCGTATTCATTCAAATCAAAGCGTTTTGCAGTGAACGAAAACGGTAATAATCGGTTGGTTCAAGGTCAATTGAATATGAGGAGTTGGTTGGAATAGAACAAAGGAATTCGAAAAATATCCCTGTGTTATTCTTGGCCTATGAGCCTTTGAATTTTCAGGAATGAGATCAACGTTCCTTTAATCCATTGTGTAGCCGACCAGTGTTGTGTAAAAAAGTAAACTATGTTTCGGCACTTCAAATTGATTCATAGCGGACAGATATGATTAGTAGATAGGATGATGCATTTGTCTGTGTAATTGATTCCCCAGAACAGAAAATGTTTATGACTCAACATAATATACTTACAAGCACGCACGCAGTAGGCATAATAATGGGACATCGGTTATATGTAAGTACTTTTATGAATTCGGTTATATGTAAGAACTTTATTGCGTTATCTTTTTTTACTGATTATTTATTATCTTTACTTAATTATTTGTTTTTGATAATTATTATCATTGTTATTATTATTATTATTATTACTTGTGTTTACGTGTGTATTTGTAGTTTGTTAATTATTTACTCATTTTTTTTGATTTTATATATTATATATTATTTCCTAGGTTGGTTGTCTTATTTGTTAATTTTAAAGAATTGACTTCTTTTCAAAAGTATGTTATATTAACTTCGTTGTATATAGCTTATACAGGGTGACGCCAAAAAACGAGAATTTTTGGAGTGCGTATTGCCAAACGAGCAAATGGCAACACTGCGAGACAGTGACCTTGAGCAAGTAAACATTTAGAATGCAAGATGAAATTCACAGTATCCCAGCTGAGGTGTTGCAGCAGTCAATAAGGAATCTCAACAGCAGATTTCAAGAATGCATTCGTACAGGAGGACGCCACCTACAATTAAAAATTCCATCATTGTTTCTTAAATGGCATGTTTTAAGGTTTCAATTACTATGAATAAAATATTTTTCTTCCATCACTCTTGGTTTTATTGGATTGTTAATTAGTTCCAGTTTTTTGT